CCAGAGAAGACAGAAACACGTGCAGAGGGTGGCAGAGATTTAGAAAAAAAACAAAACCAAAAAATCTCTTTCCTCCATGGAATTGTTTTTCACAGAACTCAAATAAAGTACCTTGTAAAATGTTCTTTACTTTAACCTTTTCTTTTCATTGTCAGTCCTGGAGACATTAGCCCAAGGAAGTACTTGCAAAGAAATTGTAAAAGCTACACATGTAAAGATTGTCTTGCAGGGTTAGCTATAATAACAAAAATTAGAAACAGCCCAAATGCCCAGCAATAAGGAAATAGAGACGAACACAGGATGCATAAACTATGGAAGTTTGCAGCTAAAAGCAATCATGAAGACTAAGCACGGAAGAAAAAAAAAGTCAGAATATTGGGGGGAAAAGCACATGAAACCGTTTTTATAATAGCAACTATATAAAGACATGTACACACTTGTTAAAAATACTGGAATGGAACATAAAGAAGTGAAAGTAAAAAGTTATTGGGCTAGCTTGGTAAGATTATGTGTTTTAAAAAATTTATAACTTCCTCTAATGATTTTATGGTATTTTTGTTAAAATACTTCAAATAACGACAGGGCAGGGGGGAGAGGGGGAAGCAATAGCTACGTGGAACATTTATGTAGTAACCTAGACCAAACTGAACTATAATGGTTACATATCCATATCCTGCTTTTGTTTTTCTTTATATATTTTGAGGCAATTGGTCAATTGGATAAAATTGTATCATGTGATTTATGTTCTAATCCACAAGCTCTTATTTTTCTCCTTGGTGCCTTTCATTAGTTTATTAGTTCATTAGTTAACAATCCCCAATGGCGATAGCCTTCTCTGTTTTTTTGTTTTTCCCTAGAATAAAAGCCAAGTCAGAAAAACGAGCGTCTTTCTTTGTTTATTTTCGAGAGATGGTATTAGCTGAATCATATGAAATTACCATTTTCATAGGTCCAAAATAAATGAATGTTGGACATTTCATATGATCCAAGCAGAAAGTTTTAACAATGGTGGGATGTACCTTAAATGGTCCCTGTAACAATTTTGAATCATTCTCTTCACTTCAATGGCTCTGTTTCTCCACCAGTTTAATTTCTCTCTCTCTCTTTTTTAAAGTACTTTGTTTAATACTAAGTTCTCTAGAGGAAATGTCCAAATAATGCCACTCTGACATACCCCTCCCCAAAAACTAAATCATTAAAGTTAATGTAATCATATGGAAACGTCTAGGTTTCCTTCATTCGCCAAGTTTTTACTCTGTTCGATAAATATTTATTGCGCATGGACTCTGTATCAGGTGCTAAATGCTGGGACACAGAAACGAGTAACTACGGGGTCTCTTTTCCTTCAGGGAACAGACTTGGCTTGTAGGCTGAAAGGAATGGTTGTGTACGTGCAGTGACTGAACTGACCAGGTCCAACGACTGGTTTGATTATTTTTTAACCCCATTGACTGAGTGTTTGCTGAAATCGATTCAATCTACCACCACTTTAGCGTTCACAAGAACTAGCCTTGGCCCAGGCAGAGGAGAAATTTGTTTTGAGCTGGTCCTGCTATTTGTCTAATCAATTAGCTGACACACAGGTAAATAGACTCAGAAGAGCAAGGGTGCCCGCAGTGTGTGTGTAGACCCTTCTCATGCAAGGCGGCTCCCAGAGTGCCCGAACCTTAGAAATAAGACAAGAGATGCAACGCCTGGGGACTCGCGAAAGGAAACGTGAACATCCAATAACAACTAAATATCATTTTTTAAAGACAAAGGCAAACATAAAAAGGATTTTAAAGGAACTACCGCAGTGGTCATTTACCTAAACAAGAGCTTCCCAGGACTGTTTTTGGGGGGACATGTCACGGAGCAGATGCGGTCTCCAGGCCAGCAAACCAGAAATGTCAAGGCAGAAAGTTAAATAGGTCACCTGTGTGAGGACAGCCAGGTGACTGGAGGTCGAAATAAACCTCTGGTGAAAATGCCATCGATCAAACACTTATCCTGGCATCACTTAAAAGTGCCCCTTGAGTCCAGCTCCAGGCAGTTTAAGCAAAGGTCTGGTGTTCAAGAAGCCTGCACTTAAACAGCTGGGCACTGTGCCCCAACACTGACCACCACCTCAAAATCTGGGGGCCACCCTGACTGAGGACGATCAGGTGGCTTTTGTCTCTAACTTCCTCCCCTTAGCTACTTACATTATCAATTTTCAGGCATGGTTTCACTTTGGGGGACTATCCCCTACAGCATATGTGTCTTAAAAAAGAAAAATGGCCTCTGTAACGCTCATCCTAAGACCCGCCAAAGCTTTTGCTCCTTAATCGTGACAGAGCCTACGGCTGGGATGGGTCCCGCTGCATGTCCGGGGTGTTACAGGTATGCTCGGAAATCCACAGAGAGAAAGTTAGATTTCAACAGGTGCAGAAAACGCCCAGGGCTGCTTTACAATGCAATTGAGAGCCAATTAGCAATCCCAACCATGGGTTTCCATTTCCTGTTCCTGGGTACTGAGAACAAGGAAAAAGGCAATAGCAGCGATAATTAATACACCTTTCACTTGCTGGTTCTCTATTATATACCAGGCGCATTACATCGTGTCTCATTTTCACAACTCTGCAATGAAGGTTCTCCTGACTCTAGACGTGAGAACTCTGAGGCCCAGAGAGGTTAAGTAACTCGCCTAAGGTGGCACAGCTAGGAAAGCGGCAGCACTGTGACCGGCCTGACTCTTTCCACCATATCCAGCTGCCTCCCTAAAAGCAGAGCCTCTCACAAGCCTGGGAGCCGGTGTTCCCCTGAGGGTTTGTGTCAGAGCTGCATCTCCTCGCTGGACAACAAGCAGCCCAAGGCCACCCAGACCACTGGGTGCGTTCCCGGCCGCTGTGAGACAGGGAGTGAGGCGCCGAGGAGATGAGGGCTCTGCGGGCAGAAGTGTGCCCGTCCCATTGGCACGCCATCTTCGTCTCTTCCAGCCTCGGACCTGGTGACGGTGACCTTGACAGAGTCCCCCAGGGAGGCCTCATGTAGACAGCTGTGGTCATTATTTGCTTTGATCTTAATGAGCTGGGCATTTCCAAGGAAATGCAAGTGGACACGTCTCAGTGAAAAGCAGATGTTTTACAAGTGTTTGGGGGATGGGCAACCTCACTGCTCAGGAAAAGGGAGAAGACCCCCAGCTGAAACTCCGTCAGCAGCCTCTCCTCTGTAGAAGGGTCCTCTCAGGCAGCAAGGGCGCCGTTTGTCACCCTCGGCGTTAGAGGCCCCTCTGAGTCTCCCCGCGCCTCACCCCAGCGGGGCCGGGACACTTTGAAAAACTTCTGTCTCAGAGCTGTATCTAAAAATAGCTAAAACTTCAATCTCCATACCGGCTAAGGGGCATCCATTGAAAGATGAATCTCAAGTTTGCTCCTCCTGCTTGCTAGGTGTAGAAATGGGGCACGGCCACGATCTTGTCTGCTGGGTGGGGTTTTGTTTGCTGCTCTTGGTGGCCACCAGCACCTAAGCAGCTGCATTCTTTCCCTTCTAGCCCCACTGCCCCAACCTTGGCCCCAGTGGACCCGTGAGGAAACCCCACATGGTGAATCACCCATCTCCCAAGTGCAGTGTCCCACACATGAAGCCCGGGGTGTGAACGTATTGCCACCAGCTGTTCTCTCCAAACTACTGAATTCACAGGCATTTATGGTGTCATGGGTCCTCTTGTGCCCTGCACACAAGGATGGGCTGCTCTGGGCTCGCTCTGCTGGCCTCACCCCACAGGGTCGTGTGACTCATACTCAACAAGGCCTTTCTGAGAAAAAGGCTGTGATCTTACAGAAAAGCCCACAATCACTTAGTCCTCGAAACCTCCAAAGCAGTAGGCCAGGGCTGTGCCAGGTCCCCTGGCCGGAACTGAAGCGCCAGTGGCCTCTCCTGCCCTCCTACCATTGTCGCTAAACACCATCCCATGTTGAGGTGAGCTGTAAAGTGAAGGAAGGTATATTTGTGACAACTTCCCCTGTTCCTTTACATTCAAACACAGCCTATCCAGTTCCTTGTAAAAAAAAATATCCATGACACCCACCCCGTGAGACAGTCCATTTTGTCTTCTCCTCTTCATCATCTGGGCTAGAAACATGGTAAGAGTGAAAGAGTTCGAGGAAATCCTCACCCTCAAGAACTGGAATGAGGTTAGGAGTTAAGTTCTCTTGTTGCTTGGTGGTCACTCATGGTAGTGACTGAACAAGTCACATCCTCTTATCTGTCCCCTACGCTCTGTCAGCATTTTAGGCTTTTGGCCTCAGATACAGAGCTGCCTAAGTGGGGGGCTGGGGGTGAGTGCCTTAGCCTGGAACGGGTGTGTCGTATGGCAGCCCTTGACCATGGGGTGCAGGGGCGGCCATGACAGAGCTGAGCCCCAACACGGACCCCGCAGAAGGCCACTGAGTCCCTGACCCGTTGAGCTGTTTTGAGTCAGCCAGGGCCACAGCCACAACCTCGCCTGACTGTCCAATGAAATATTCTTTGTTGGCAAAGGGAGAAGGAAAGGGGCTGGGTGACGGAGCCAGCAAGGGGATAAAAGAAGACGAAGACTACGGCGCACAAAAATGTCGCAGCGTGAAGCACGGCCCACCCGGCTGGTATTTTCTGATCCCGCCCAGCTTCTGTTAACACCCTGCCCTGTTCGCCACACTGGGCCTGCCTCAGTTGCTCATCTGCTTCCTTTGTCCTCGTCCTTCCCATGCAGGGACTTTTTCTCTCTCCTTTGATCACCGGGAAAATCCATCCTTGGGGCAGGTGTGTTTTCAAGCAGCTGCCTCTGAACTGATGTTCGATTGCCCAGCGTGCTGTACAGCAGCTGACGGCAGCACCGAGCTGGAGCCCCCACCCACCCACCTGCTCAGCTGCCCTTGATTTTGGAAGGACAGGACTCAGGAGCTACCAGCTCCTCACCACCCCTCTACTGTCCGCCCCCCAACCCCCACATGCACAAAGAGCTTCTAAAACCTCCTTGCCATCGACTCGTCTGGCCTTACCTGTAACCGGGAGCTGCGCCTGCAGGAGGCCCGCGACAACAAGCACCTTCCACTTCATGGCGTCCTTCCCCCAGGATGCTGCCGGGAAGCAGAGGCTGTGGCCACCGTGGCTGGGACAAAGAAGAGAAACGAAGCCTGCTGGCTTTGTTCTGTGCTGCCTCGTCAGGAAGTGGGGACTCTGGTGCTTTGAGAAGGCAGGCCTCTGCCACGGGGACCAGAACCTCACACTCCCCCTTTCGGTTCATAGGCAGGAAGCTCTAGAGGCTTGAGGGGTTGGGGTGTGTGCCTGCGCCTGTCTGTCTGCCTGCCTGAATTTTGCTTTTCCTCTCCTTAAACAATTGTTTCATTTTCCTTTCTTTTTTATTTTCTAATTTTTGTCTAATTTTTAATCTAATTCCTACCTTGATTGGTGAAGTCAGTCCCTCGGCAAATACAAGTTCCCAATGCATGCGAGAACACCTGCCGCTTCCTAGACTCTGATGTTTCATGGCGGTTGGTAAGGCGACAGAGCTCTGGCTCAGAGTCAGGCTCAACGTAGAGACAGAAGACCTATTTCGTGCCACCTCTGGTACCTACTTGCTGTGTGGCCTTGGGTAAGTCACTCAATGTCCCTGGACTTCAGTGTCTTTATCTATAAAGAAAATTGCTGGAGTAGACCTGAGTTTCCAGATCTGAACTTGGCCTGAATTTGGACCGTAGAATAAGTTTGAAATGCTATTTCAAACACTTTTATTAGTTGTCCACATTTAAAGATTGGAGTAATTTACAATAAGAAAAAAGATGAGTACCTAGAAATAAGCTTAATGAAAAGTATACAGTCTATGTAAAGCTTTAAAACATTACTGAAGAATACAGGCAGGATTTGCATAAATCAAAAGACATGAGGTCTGCCAATTAAGTTCATGAACTTGTTGCTATGATGTTGCTACCCTTTTTTTATATCAGAGGGATTATTCATTAAGAATTTGTACCAACTGGACAAACAGTGAACCAAGTTTACTATTTGGAAGTGCTGAAAAGGCTGCGTGAAAAAGTTAGACAACCTAAACTTTTCGCCAACAATTCATGGCTCTTGCCTCTTGCATCACGACAGTGCACCAGCTCACACGGCACTCTCTGTGAGGGAGTTTTTAGCCAGTAAACAAATAACTGTATCGGAACACCCTCCCTACTCACCTGATCTGGCCCCCAATGACTTCTTTCTTTACCCGAAGATAAAGAGAATATCGAAAGGAAGACATCTTGATGACATTCAGGGCATGAAGTGTAATACAACGACAGTTCTGATGGTCATTCCAGAAAAAGAGTTCCAACACTGCTTTGAAGGGTGGACTAGGCTCTGGCATTGGTGCATAGCTTCCCAAGGGAAGGACTTCGAAGGTGACCATAGTGATATTCAGCAATGAGGTATGTAGCACTTTTTCTAAGATGAGTTCACGAACTTGTCTGACCTTGTATCCTGGTCTTTGATAAAAAGCCCCTTAAGAAGACTACAGTTCTCCTTAACTCAATCAATCCATTTCACTAAAAATACCAACAAAAGTTTTAGAATAAGATAAGGTGATTCCAAAGTTTACACACACTCAAAATGTACAAAAATAGCCAGGACACAAAAAGCACAAGCAATCAAAGAAAAAATAGTAAATTGAACTTCATCAAAATTAAAAACACTTTTATACATAAAGTAAAAAAAGCAATTCACAGAATGGGAGAAAATATTTACAAATCAGATACCAGTAAGGGTCTAGTATTCGGAATACATCAATAACTCCTACAACTCAACAAGAAAAAAGTGATCCAAATAAAAATTGGCCAAAGGTCTGAATAGACATTTCTCCAAAGAAGATACACGAACGGCCAACAAGCACATGGCAAGATGCTCGCATCACTAATCGTTAAGGAAAGCAAATCAAAAGTGCAGTGAACTATTACTTTACACACACTACGATGGCTAAAATAGGGAAAAAACAGACGAGTGTTGGCGAGGATGTGAAGAAATTGGAACTCTTGTACATTGCTGGTGGGAAGGTGAAATGGTGAAGCCTCTGTGGAAATAGTCTGGCGTTACCTCAAAAAGTTAAGCAGAGTTATCATATGACCCAATAATTCTACCGCTAGCCTTATACGCAAGAGAACTGAGAACATATGTCCCCATAAATCTTGTCTATGGATGTTTATAGCAGCATTATTCATAATAGCCCCAAACTGGAGACAACCCAAATGTTCATCAACTAAGGATTGGGGGTATTTTCAAACGACAGAATGTATGATTCAGCCATAAAACGGAGTGAAGCATTGCAACACGGATGAACCTTGAAAACATTACACTGAGGGAAAGAAGCCAGACACACACACAAAGAGCACAATAATATGATCCCATTTATATGAAACGCCCAGGATAGGCAAATCCATGGAGACAGAAAGTAGATTAGGGGTTTCTAAAGGATAGGGAGGGGAGAAATTCGAACTAATTGCTAATAGATGGGACGTTCCTTTTGGGGGTGATGTAAACATTCTAGAATCAGATAGCGGGGATGGCGCACAACATGGTGAACATACTGAAGTGTGCACTTGAAACTGGTGCACTTTATGTTATGTGATTTATATCGCAATATAAAAATAATGCTAAAACAGGCAAGAAAACTCTGTAAATGAATGAGGAGAGTGAAATAGCCCTGCCAGTTATCAAACACTACAAAGCAACCCAGTTGCCATATAGTTAGTACATATGGTGCTATAGACTCAAACATATATGTTCAATTGGTTTTTGATAAAGGCACAAGGAAAATTTAACGCAGAAATGATAGTCTTTTCAACAAATGGTGCTAGACCAACTGGATAGCTGTATGGGGGGGAAAAAAAAGCATTGACTCTTATGTTACACCATACACAAAAATTAACTAAAATAGTTCATAGACCTAAATGTAAAAGGCAAAACTCCTGAAATAAAACATAGGAGAAAAATTCTTATGGTATGACATAAGAAGCACAAACTGGGGCCGGCTGAGTGGTGCGATGGTTAAGAACTGGCTTGGGATGCCAGAGGGCCCCGGTTCGGATCCCACATATGAGGGCCAGTGACACTGC